GGGAAAGGGTGTCAGAGTGGCTCCTGTGTCAGAATGGCTCCTGGGCTGGGCCTGTCCAGTGATGTTCAGCGCCAGGGGACAAAAGGGCAACTTGGAGGCTTTGACTTTCCACTTGGCATCTCCCGTGTCTCCACGGGGGGTCCCGGAATCCAGCCACCCAATCACCCCCTCACCCTCCCCGCGTCACAGGTTCCAGCGAAAACATTGGCGGCGGCATGCTCCTCCCCGCCCCCGCCGGCTCCGAGTCGAAGACCCCGATGCCCTGCCCCTCCTACTCCCATGCGACCGCCTCCAGCGGGCAACACTAGGTCGACCGAGGCGCAAGGCATGACGCGGTGACGCAGGAGGGAGGCAGGGGGATTGGTGCGCTGCCTCTCAGCCGCGCCTGCACATCCGTGCGACCCCACTCGCCGCCGAGGCAGGGTATCCCACCCTTTTGTTTGCGGGACCTCTGCACCTCCCTTGCACCCGCATTCCGCCCCCATTCTGGGCACTTGCTGACGACGGCCGCAGGCCCTGCCTCCTCATGAAAGTACCACCCCTGATGTGTGCGCGTGCGTCTCTATTCCCTTCCCCTGTGCGTGACTTCTCCATCTCATGCATGCATGCCCAGGCTGATGGGCTGAATCCACAGGTCTGCTCCCACCCTTCCCCCCCGTCCTTTTATCAACGTCCTGAGGAGGGGGCTCGCAGGACCCCTCCCACCTGACAGTGTCCATGCTCCTCCACTTCTCCGCACGCCTCGCCTCTCCTTCGATATAGACCCTAACCCCCATGACACGTGGGATCCTCCATTGCAGCAGGTGCTGTGCCAACCTTTCCCTTGTAAACTCATCCATGGCACTCGAAGTGTGTGAAGGGGCTGCCGGTGACTTGGAGCTTTCAACCCGTCTGGGGGAATCTCGGTGCGCCTCGTAACGATCTGGATCACTTCCTCACTCGGCGACACCAAGCGCTCGGTAACAAGCCACTGACCATCCTCTACTTGCTTCTTGCGTTTTTAATCTGTGACAGCCTGCAATACTCCCGGAGCGGGCATGAGACGCACGGCTTGGTTACCTTTCGGAAACTCCCTGACATGGCCGGCGAGGAGCTAAATGACCCTCGCCTTCTGCACGTGCTCTCCAGGAGCAGGTAATTGATAGTGTGTGCTGAAGAGTCACCGTTGATCTGAAAACGGAGTATCTCGACCCTGGATCTTGCGGGCAACCCCTCTTGCAGGCACTCGTTGGAGCAGGTTGGAGCCGAGCCCAACACGCAGGCATGGGTGAAATCTTGCGCCTCCACCGAGCCTGGCACGGACAAGGTTCGCACCAGGGCTGGCGGGTTCGGTTGGGGGGAAGGTGCCTGGTGATTTGTTGGGACAGGCACTGGCAGTGATACTGTAAAAGAACTTCTCTGCTTTGAGAGGAGGGAGTTGCCGTTCCATGTGCAGTCTTCCACCTGACACGCTTCTTTCTTACTCGGACTGACAGTTACTGCGTCTTCTGGAGGAGCATGTCTCGGAGCCCTCCTTCCTGCACTCCCTCGAGTCGGCGCGGGCGGAGAGCGAGGCCGCAGGCCAGCCGGACCCCACCCCGCCCGCTGGAGGGGTTGACCAGGCACCACCCCACAGCCATGCCTTGCAGGCAGACTGGTGGGAGCTCATGCCTGATGGCGATTTTGGCCTCCGGTGGGTTGGTTGATACGGCAAGGGGGGAACACACAAGTGTGTCTCTCAGGGCAAAGAGTGGGACGGTGGTTGTCACCTCCAATTTTTCCCAGGTTGAACGAGATATGGAGTCTTCTGTTGCTGTTTGGTATGGCCCTCCGAAGGGTGGACCAGCACAGGGCCGGGGCCGGCCCGAGCACTTACTTTGGTGTCCTGCGCGGTGAAGCCCAGGCCAGCATCGCTCCAGCCTGCGCACTGCCTCCCACCCTGCTCCCCTCCCTTCCTCAGTGAGCGAGGACACGGGGGATTATGTCGTGGTGGAGCATGCCGACGCCGTCGCCGCCATGAGTCACTTCATCGCCGCCTACATCGTGACCCTTCCGGAGGCAGCCTCCTGTGACTCACGGCAGCTGCAGAAGGCCCTGGCTGAGACCATCCAGGCAAGGAGGGGCAGGGAATGGCATGCCCCTTCCTCATCCCCACATCGCCCGCCAGCCATGCTTGACCTCGCCTCGCCCTTCCTGACCCCTTCTTCACGCACCCCCCCTGCGCTGCATCGTAGGAGCTGCGCAAGGGGCGCGTCCGGCGGCTGCTGGACTGGGGCCGTACGATCTACAGGGCGGTGGCGGTGTCGTACGGCGCCTTCTCAGCCTACACCAACCCCTGGCTGGCCAAGGCGGTGCTGACGGCGCTGCTCACCGCAGTGCGCATGCTGGCAGGTCTCGTGGTCCTGTGAGGGCACCACCCTGCCTGGAAACCCTCTGTACCTGTGCAGTACAGCAGCATGTCCTGGCCACTGCCTGAGCTGGGGGCCATGTGCTCCCTGTACAATCACACCTTCCCATGTCCACGGCACCTGAAGGCCATGTACTTTGTAAGCATCCATGAGAAACTCATGCATCGCACAATTCACTTGGTGGCGTTGATAGATGACGAATTCTGAGCGTGACTGGGCCTGTTGAGAATGGGAACACCATGTCGTCCATCTCAGCCGAGTTGTGCCGAAACCGTCTTCACCCCCCCTTCTCAACGAGTACACATGATCCAGGACCCGCTGGCGTGACAGATAACACGATACGATTTGTATGCGGGGCATCGTCAGTCTGAGCCAGGCGCTGAGGGTGATCAGCCCCGGACGGGGTGCTTTTCCCGTCGAGACCGTGGGGAGGAGGTGGCGGGGCCAGGTACAGGCTTCCTGGCACAGGCCCTCTTCTCAGGGTGGGATGTCGAGCGTGGCGGATGGATCGAGCATGAGAGGAAGTTGCAAGATCGCGGTGGCCCAGATGACGTCTGTGGGAGACCCGGACGCCAATTTCAAGACATGTCAGAGGCTGGCGCAGGTGTGCCTCCTTCGGGCCATGGCAGAAGCAGCAGGACGTGCATGGGTCTCAGCTCCGACGCCACTGGCGCTTATCCGGCACATTCTGGGCTGGTCCACTTCACTGAGCTTCGCTGCACCCACAGGAGGCCAAGGACAGTGGTGCGGCCATGCTCTTCCTCCCTGAAAACTTTGGCTTCCTGGGCCGATCCCCGGCCGAGGTGATGCAGGCTGGTGCCTGAGGGTTGCATGGTGCAAAGACTCCGGCATGAGGATAGCGCCTGCATCTGGGGATCAATGTTTCGAGGGTCCTGCCCCCCATCTGTCAGGCGCGGCCATGCACCGCCCCAGCGTGTGACCTGTCCTCGTTCCTCAACGCCCGACCCACACACTGCCCGCCCGCAGTCCCTGGCCCAGGCGCAGCCCCTGGAGGGCCCCCTGATGGCTCGCTACCGCCAGCTGGCAGCCTCCACGGGCCTCTGGCTGTCCCTAGGCGGGTTTCAGGAGGAGGGCCCCGACGACAGCCACATCCACAACACGCACGTCGTGCTGGACGACCGGGGTCAAACTGCGGCGGTGTACCGCAAGATCCATCTGTTTGACGTGGACGTGCCCAGCGGGCCGGTGCTGCTGGAGAGCCGATTCACCGCGCCAGGGTCGCAGGCGGTGACCTGCGCCAGCCCCGCCGGCGTCCTGGGCCTGACCACCTGCTACGACCTGCGCTTTCCGGAGCTGTACCAGCACCTGGCGTTTGACAAGGGGGCAGACGTCCTGCTCGTGCCCAGTGCCTTTACAGTGCCCACAGGTGACGTGGTGGAGGAAGGGGGTGCTGAAGTGGGGTGGGATAATTAGTTGCTAACATCAACATTGGGTTTGAAAGCATGCTAGCAACCCATCAAACACGTGCGGCGCACTGTTCAAGCCATCAGGCCCAAGAGCCTGAAAGGACGTTCAGTGTTTACTGTGGCCAGGCCCGCTTGGAGGGGGTAAACGGGGGCGTGCATGCTTTCGAGCCAGTGTCCGTACGATCCGGCCCCTCCCTGGGGGCGAGATCTCACCGCCAGCACCGTACCGCCGACCCTGATCGCAGGGAAGGCGCATTGGGAGATCCTGCTGCGGGCCCGTGCCATCGAGACCCAGTCGTACGTGATTGCCGCGGCGCAGGCGGGGCAGCACAATGAGAAGCGCGTGAGCTACGGGCACAGCTTGGTGGTCGACCCCTGGGGCACCGTGTGCGGACGACTGCAGGACGGCACGGCCACGGGCATTGCCCTGGCTGACATCGACCTGTCCGCGGCCGATGACATAAAGGCACGCATGCCCGTGGGGCTGCACCGGCGCAAGGGGAAGGAGAGGTGGGCCGGCTCCTGACCAGCTCCACCCACCTCCCCGTGGCCCGGAGGCCAGGTCCGAGGCGGTGATCGCTGTCGACTTGCATGCATGGGCGGCAATGCCCTCGACTGCGGTGTCCTCGTCCCAGGTACACATGGTCAGACCGATTGTCGTGAGTCCGAGACATCCAGGCGTCATGCAGGGGCGTGGGTCACATGGGCACGCCGTCAGGTTTAACCACAGGCCGTCGGCCCGTCCCAGTGGTCGGGCAGAGACTTGCCTCAGCCAGCGTTGGCCTGCGACGCGTAGAAAGACTATAGGAAGGCCCCCCACCTCATGCAATGTACACATGATTGGCTAATGTTGTTGCTTATTTGATCACCTTAGCCACCCCTTCCGCATCGCATTCGTGGGTGTCAACACCCTGCACCAAAAGATCCCTGTAGACCGGGCGTGGGCTTTTGCAGACTCCCACCACTGTCGTGCAGGATGGCGTGTCGGGGCATGATTGCCCTCCTCCTCGCTGCCATGGTGGCAGCACCAGCGCTGGCTGACCGCAGGGTGAGGAGTCGGTGCAAGGGGTGGGGGTCGGCGTCGGTCTGGGACGGGGGCGGGGGCCCCCGCGTCCAGCGCCGCGGAGCGCCTCGGACCTGTAACCCCTGCACATGGTCATGTAATGTCGTTGTCACTCTTATCGCACCTTACCATGACCCCCCGTCCCCTCCCCCTGCACAGTTGCTGGCCGCGAGCTCCACCCCGGCCCTGGGTGCCACACAGCCTACGGAGCCGGAGTACTTCATCACCATCAAGGACGGCGACTTCGTGAACGGCTGCGAGCTGTTCTTCCCCGCCGGCTGGAACCAGTGAGTGGGGGTTTGGGGAGGAAGGACGATGGTTTCTTTTCTGGTGGGGCCCGATGTCTGTACTGCCTCTGTGGCCGGAGACCTGGGCTGAAAGCTGAGGGCTGCACACTCTCTCTGCCATAGAATCCTCACCAAACGCTGCACTTGTCCACACACCTATTCGCCGCTGCAGCCCCCTTCCTCGTCGACCACCCCGCACCCCCTTGCCTCACCCCTCCCCACCCCCAACCACCTTGCACCAGGTGGGAGGTGGTCGAGGCCGCCGGCGGTGCGCCCTACCTCTCCGGCGCGTCCCTTCCCGCCAACCTCACCGGCCCCGGCCTGGTCCGCGAGCTGCTGGACCGCGCGCAGGCCAACGGCCTGAACACCATGCGCACCTGGGCCTTCACGGTGGACGAGCGCTTTGCGCTGCAGACCGCGCCGGGCGAGTACAACGAGGCCGTCTTCCGTGGCCTGGACTACCTGCTGGACGAGGCACGCCAGCGCGGCATCAAGCTCATCCTGGCCTTCACCTCCAACTGGACGCCCGTGGGCGGCCTGCCCCAGTACCTGGAGTGGGCGGGGGAGACTGCGCCGGTACAGTTCTACACCAACCCCAGCATCGCCAGCCTGTTCAAGGCCCACGTCACCGCCGTCACCTCCCGCGTCAACACCATCAACGGGCGGCGCTACTCGGAGGACCCCACCATCTTCGCCTGGAACCTGATCAACGAGCCGCGGTGCACGGGGTGCCCCGCCGGGACCATCGCCGCCTGGGTCAAGGAGATGGCCGCCTTCGTGAAGCAGGCCGACCCCAACCACCTGCTGACCGTGGGCGAGGACGGCTTCTTCGCCGCGGGCGGCACCGCCAACCCGGGCGTGCAGTACACGGAGTGGGCCGCGGAGGAGGGGCAGGACTTCATCGCCGACCACTCCAGCCCCGACATCGACTTCGCCACCTTCCACACCTGGGTGGACAACTGGCAGGAGGTCACGCCCGAGTGGCAGTCCGCCTGGATCGCTGCGCACGCCGACGCGGCGGAGAAGACGCTGAAGAAGCCGGTGCTGCAGGAGGAGTTTGGCAAGTGGGTGAACGAGACCGACCCGGACAGCAACCTGGACGACCGCCTGGTGTTCATGCAGGCCGCCTACGACCAGACCAGCCAGCTGCAGCGGGCCGGGTCGGCGCTCAAGGGCTCCCTCTTCTGGCAGTGGTACGCCGACGGCCAGATCGCGCCGCTGACCGAGGGCGGCGGCCGAGGCCTGTATGGCATCTACGAGTCCGACGCCGCCTTCCGCCCCGTGGTGGAGAACGCGGCCGTGGCGGCCAAGCTGTCCGCGCCGGTGGCGGGGTGCAGGCCCGCTGGTGCCGACGTGCCCCCGCCCGCCAACTGCTCCGACACCTGGGTGGACGGCGCGCCCGAGACGGGGATGGAGGGCCCCACCTGCGCCCTCCCCATCAACGAGTGCGTGCGCGGCACCGACACCTGCGCGCCCGAGGCCGCCTGCCTGGACGACCCCGAGGGCTTCGCCTGCGCCTGCTTCTGGGGCTACGCCGGGGACGGCGAGACCTGCGCCCCTGACGCCGCTGCGCTCAAGACCCTGGCCTCCGCCTACTGGTCCGAGCCCGAGGCCGGCGCCTGCGACCCGGGCGCGGACGTGGCCTGGCCGTCCGACGCGCCAGGGTACCGGTACGACGCGCTGGGCGCCTACACCAATGATTATGGCTCGCGCGCCAACGTGAGCCTGCTGGAGTGCCAGATCGCGTGCCAGATGGCGCCTACCTGCGAGTCCATCACCTACAACGCGGTGCAGGAGACCTGCTTCCTCAAGCGCTCCCAGTGCCCCATCTACAACTTCTGCTATGACCCCAAGGAGATCATGTGCAACAGCACCGAGTCGCGCGCGGGCGAGGTCATCGAGTATTCCATCCCCTGCGGCTTCTGGCTCACCTACTACCGCCTGGACATGGACGTGGACGCGGCCTGCGCCGCCTTCACCTACCCGGGCGTTGCCACGGGGGCCAACCCGGATGTTGTCGACGGCTTCCGCGAGTTCGCCGCCAGCCCCGCTGCCGCGGAGCTGGACCACTTCATGATTGCGCCGGCGGTGGAGCCGGAGGCGGAGGCAGCTGTCCCTGCCGCCACGACCCCCGCGGCCTCGGTCACGCTGGTGGCGGCGTCCGCGGACAAGCCCACCTGATGAGGACGGGCGACTTGGAATGTGGACCCCACTGCGTCCTCTGTGTGGGGTTGGTCGATGCCATCGAAAATTCCCTGGCAAGCTATTGGCGTAGAAGCACTCACATCCGGCCGCATGTGGCTGGGGCCCGGCGCAGCGCCAGCATGGCTCCCAGTGGCTTCCCCGTGACTGAGCGTGCTTGGGGCTGCCATTGTGCGGGCATGCTGCGGCCCATTCTCTGACATGCACCATTATTGAATCCAGCAGACCATGCGGTAGAGCTGAGGTGTTTTTTCCCCTGGTGTAACCTCTTGATCTCTTGGTAAGCACTGGGTCAGGCTCACCGCGCGCTCGGACACAACAGCAGCAGCGAGGGTCCCCGCTACACGAAGCAGCAGATTGATGGATCCAGCTTCTGCGCCTTGTGTTATAATATTAACTTGATTAAATCTCCGATCTTCATATAGTGAGAGGCCATGACGTGGTGGCTGGCCCTGGCGGGGCTGTTGCTCCTGGTGATCAAGCTCGTCCGAGAGTGCGCTGCGATGGGAGGGTTGGGCAGAGATGTGTGTCGTATCAAGGGAGGCAATATGTAACATCAACGCCCGCTTTCGTCGGATCTTCCCCAGAATGGCGGAGAACCGTCGGCTGAGGGCCCAGGCCCGGCAGGCCGAGGAGCACCTGGCCAAGCTGACCCATGAGGTCGAGTCGCGGTCCCACACCCTAAACGGCCTGGGCACGGGGGCGCAGGAGCTGGAGTCTCGCCTGGAGACCCTGCTTGCCGCCAGCCGGGCCGACAAGGCGGAGGTGGGGCGCCTCGTCCGGGAGCTGGAGACGGCCAGCACTGCCCTGGTGAGCGCCCAGCGCTCGGCCCAGCAGGCGGCGCTAGACCTGCAGCGTGCGCAGCGCGCCGAGGCGCAGCACCGGCGGGATGCCCGCGAGGCCCAGCGCCTGGCAGCGCTGGCAGGCACAGACAGGGCGGATGCCCTGGCAATCAAGACAGCGTCCGCCGCCGCCGCAGCGGACGCCGAGCGCGCACGTCGCCAGGTGGGTGTCCGAGTGAGGGGTTGGGTGGTGCTATGGATGGTCCTGGATGAGCGCAAGGTCGGCGAGTGTGGGGCTGTAGGGCATTGAATGGGCCGTGGGGTTCGGAGTCACTGTGCAGGCAGTAGAGGGCGAGGTGCCGCTGCGCTCATGTGCACACCACGCTTGGCACACGCAGGCAATGGAAGATCGGGACGCCGCAGTGTCCACCAGGGCAGCTGCTCTACAGGAGCGGGACTTGGCGGTGCAAGAGCGAGACCGGTTCGGGGCCCGGTGTGCGGCTGCAGAGGCCGGCAAGTCTGTCGCGGACCAGGCCGCCGCCGCAGCCGCCGCAGCCGCAGCCGAGGCTCAGGCCGCGGCTGACGCTGCGGCGCAGAGGGCTGCAGAGGCGGAGCGGGACACAGAGACGGCGCTCAGGGAAGCCGTGAGGTGTGCAGAGCGGGAAGCGGACGCGCGCATTGCGGAGCTGGAGGCTTCCGTCCGGGCCGCTCGTGATGAGGTCCAACAGGCCGAGGAGCGTTTGGCCCAGGCCAGCAGCTGCCACGCCGAGGCGCTCCAGGCCGCAATGGCGCGATCCGCCGCGGCCGAGACTTCGCTGGAAGCCGCGCGCATTGCGGAGCTGGAGGATTCCGTCCGGGCCGCTCGTGATGAGGTCCAACAGGCCGAGGAGCGTTTGGCCCAGGCCAGCAGCTGCCACGCCGAGGCGCTCCAGGCCGCAATGGCGCGATCCGCCGCGGCCGAGACTTCGCTGGAAGCCGCGACCGCGGCGCGGCGCACCGCCGAGGAGCGCGCTGCCGCCGCTGACGAGAGCGCTGCCGCCGCCGGGGAGCGCCCTGCTGCCGCCGAGGAGCGCGCTGCAGCCGCCGAGGAGCGCGCTGCAGCCGCCGAGGAGCGCGCTGCGGCGGTTGAGGCGTTGGAAAAGAAGGCCGAGGCGCGCGGCAGCGCTGCCGAGGCGGAGAGCCTCGCCTTGCGGCGCGAGGTGGAAGAAAGCAGGGCTGAGCTGGCTTCTGTGCTGGGAACTGCCGGTGCGGTGGCGGAGGCGCTACGGGCCGAGCAGGAGGGCCTGGGCAGGGCCTTGGCCGCGGCGCGGTGGGTGGCAGAAGGGCTTGTTGGCGTGAATTTGGAAGAAGGATCGGTACGTGAAACTGAAAAGACCGAAAACTGGAGTTCTTCTCAAGCAAATTTTCAGATTTGGAGGGTGCTGAGATCAGCTGCAGAATCTCATGTGGCAGACCAGAAGCCCGGCCGGGTCCACTGGCCTCGGTGTCTCTCTTCCAAAGATTGGGCCGGCACTCGTGCATGGTTCATGCTGGTACACAGGACGAATGCAACACCATATCAATGCATTTTGTGCAGGCAAGAGTGTGAGGCTTTGGAAACCAAGCTAAGGTATCAGGACGAGCAAGCCGCACAGCTTCTAGGTGCCAGGTCGGAGCTGGCAGATCTGCAGCGGCGGTATGCTGAGCTCAGGTGGTTGCCGGGAGTGGGGGAATTATGGCTGCTGCAGGCAATGGCTTTGCGGGCTGGAACTGCTTGGTATTTGAGGCGTGTGCAGCTTGCACTGCAAAGAGGCGCCGCCACCGCGTCTCCCACGCCTGCACCATCCCTTGACTTCCTTGCAGCGACCAGCGAAGGGCGCTGGAAGCGGAGGTGAATGAGCGCCATGCCAGCGTAGTGGCGCAGCTCGAAACGAGGCTCGAGGCTTCGAGCGCAAGAGAGGCAGAGGCGAGACGTCAGGCGGAGGAGGCGCGGAGGTTGGCCGAGGAGGCGCAGAGTCAGGTGGGCAGGGGTTGTCGAATTTGATGTGTGCTGGAGATCGGAGGTACTGCCTCTTGCCGGGGGGGCTGGGCGTGGTCGTGAGAACAAGGCACCCGGCGCGGAATGTGTGCCGCGGCATTTACAGGTCCCCCAGACACTACCCCTGAGTGTATTTGGGTCCGGCCCATTGTAAATAACCTGCAGGCAGAGGAGCACACTAAGACTGTTCAGGAGCTGGAGCGGAGACTCGCCGCCATGCCACAAGGGAAGGAGAACTTGGTGGGCGAGGGCACCGACTCAGACGAGGCTGCTCTGCTGCGAAAACTGAATGGGCGGCTCCTGGGAGAGATCGCCACGTACAAGCGCCAGCTCGGCGCCATGGAGAGGCAGGGAGTCTCCCCTGAACAATGTTGAGAGCGATGATGTCCTATGCTCCTCTATGTCTGCACTGTTCTTTGTTGGAGGGGTTGCGCCGCGTTCTGGATCCTGGGATCCAGTCACTTGATCCTCTGACCAAGTACATATAGAATGTTTTGTTTGATTGTGATAAACCTGAAGCAAAAAAGGCTTCTTGGGCTTGAAGGGCTCGGTTTACCCTGAATAACCCACGACGATGAGTCATGACGATGCATGGGCGTCCACCGTCGAGGAAGCGCCCCCGGGCACGACCTTATGCGATGGCCCCCGCCAGCATCTGCCATAGTTTCGGTGCTCAAAAGCACGATGACACCGGTCATGAGCCAGCCCAGGCTGGATTGCCGACATGCCCTGGCCTGCACCCCCATTCGGCCCTCGAGCCTCCGATCAATCCCTTTCACCCTCCGACACAGAACCCCAGCCGGGCCTCGGCACACAGACCCCAGATCAGGTCGACGAGTGCGTCATGTCGTGCGGGCGGGCCAGGCCACCCCTCCGCCCCGGAGCGACCCCACGCCCTCGGGGCGCACCTTCATCTTCGCGGTGGACGGCACCCGGGATGCCGAGGAGGGCCTGCGCTGGCTCATCCGCGCCATGACCAAGAAAGGTGCGTCCCCAGCGCGGGGTGTACCGAAGGTGCCCGTGATCCAGCCCGGCCGGAGCTGCATGCCAGCAGGGATTGCTTGGCAGGGAGCATGCCCCCTGTTCCTGTCTCCCCAGGGACGCATACCCCGCCCTCCTCCCCCACGCCCCACACCCCCTCCTCGCAGGCGACACCGTGCACCTGGCGCACGTGGTGAGCAACCCGCGCACGCCCTTCTCGGGCCTGAACCGCGCGACCACCTCCGGCACCTGGGGTGGCCCGGAGGACGCGCAGTTCATGGAGCGTGTGGAGTCGGAGGCGGCGGCCATGCTGGCTGCGCGCTACGTGCCCATCGTCAAGCACGCCGGCGTGGCCTTCACCACCTGCCTCCTGCGCCTGACGGCGGGCCGCTCGGCCGCCGCCATCGGCGAGCTGCTGGCCGGCGCGGCGCGCGACCTGGCCGCCGGCCTGCTGGTCATCGCCAGCCACGGCCCCGGGGTCCTGGCCGATTACGGCTCCGTGGCACGGTGGTGCCAGGACCATTCCCCCGTCCCCGTTCTCCTCCTGCCACCGGCCGTGCTGGGGGGAGGTGCGGCGGCGTCGGCAGCCGCCGGGCAGCCGCCGGTGCCGGCTCCTGGCGCCGGCGCCACGCTGCTCGTCGCGGGCCCGGCGGGCCCGGACCTGGGCCGCCTGCACGCCGCCTTCGACTTTGCGGTGCGCCGCTTGGCGCGCCCCGGCGACGGCGTGCTGCTGGTCAACGTTGTGGCGGCGGGCCCCGGCGGGGAGGGCGCGCTGGTGGCGGCGCGGCGCGAGCTGCTGGCCGCCGCAGGCGAGTGGAAGGACGCCGCGCCCGCGCCGCGCCTGGCCGCCACGCTGAACTTGAACGTGGACGTGCTGGCCGACGCCAGCGGCACCACCGCCAGCTTCGACGAGGGCGGCAGCCGGGCGGGGACCGCGCTGTGCGCGCTGGCCGCGCGCAGCAGCGCACGCGCCGTTGTCCTCCTGCGCCACGGCAAGGACCTGAGCTCCGAGCTCCAGTTTGCGCCCCTCACGAGCCACACCGTGAAGCACTGCGTCCGGCCCCTGGTGGTTTACGATGTCGACCGCCACGCGGCGGCCGCGGCGGCTGCGGCGGCCGGCGGCGCCGCGGCCGACATCGAGTCCAGCAACCTCAGCGGCACCAGCAGTCAGAAGGCCTCCAGCGTGGCCTCCTGAGCGCGCTGTGCATGGCGGGCCGGCTCCGGGGCCACATGGAGATCCTGGGCTTTGCGAGGCTAGGTGAAGGATCCCACTTTCCGCAGCAAGCTCTACCCCGGTTTTTTGTCTCTTTTCCTCCTACTTGCACAATTTTCCTAGCGATGACCACCCCAGGGGAGGGCCGTCTCCCTTTCCTCCCCCCTCCCGGAGCAGCATGCACCATTGGGGCCACGCCGTCGTCGCAGCGCACTGACCAAACGCACGCGCACTGTTGATTAGGCATTACATTCGGCAGTACAAGGGGGGGGGGGGTGTCGGGTACTAGCTTTGGGGGGGAGGAGGGTTGCAAGATCCTCAAACCAGCCAGGTGAAGGACCGACCTGAAGCGTGCCAGTGGGCGACGGTGGACGCCCTGGTCCGCAAGTGGGGCCGCAGAGGTGGCTCCTGAGAAACCCCCCTCCTCGCGTCGCTGTCGACAGATGGATATTCCATCCTCCCTTCCCCAACACACCTCCCTCCCGACACCACGGTCCCCTCCCAACCCCATCACTCCCCCGCCATCCACTGCGCGGCCTGGCGCGCGTAGTAGGTCAAGATGAGGTCCGCGCCCGCGCGCTTGAGGCAGGTCAGCGCCTCCAGCACCGCCTCGCGCTCGTCCAGCCAGCCGTTGCGTGCGGCGGCGGCCAGCATCGCATACTCCCCCGACACGTGGTAGGCGGCGATGGGCAGCGGGGAGTTGTCGCGCAGCAAGCGGATGACGTCCAGGTAGGGCATCCCAGGCTTGACCATCATGATGTCGGCGCCCTCAGCCTCGTCGGCCCTCGCCTCGCGCAGCGCCTCACGGTAATTGGCCGGATCCTGCTGGTAGGTGCGCTTGTCGGCGGGGATGACGCGGCGCGACCCCGGCGCCGCCGCCGCAGGGGCCGAGGCCAGAGCGTCGCGGAAGGGGCCGTAGAAGGCCGACGCGTACTTGGCGGTGTAGGCCATGATGGAGACGTGGGAGTACCCCTCGCGGTCCAGTGCCGCGCGGATGGCTCCTACGCGCCCGTCCATCATGTCGGAGGGCGACACGCAGTCCGCGCCCGCCGCGGCCTGAGGACGGGGGTTTGTGGGGGAGGGAGGAGTGAGAGAGGGGAAGGTGCGGTGGGGAGTGGGTGCCTGGTTGCGGGCAGGTGCGGAGCACTAGCGGAGAGGGCAGCCAGCTCGCTGCAAACAGCCCCCGCTCCCAGAGCAAGCCTGGCGTCGATCGGAAGAGAGGGTGATCCCCCTCCCAAACCACTCCCCTGTGCCTTTCCCCAACCTCCTATCTCCCCCCCAAAAAATAAAGGGCAGGCACGCACCTGGCTGACAGCCTGGCGGCACAGGAACTCTACGGTCTCGTCGTTCAGGATGACGCCGTCATCGCGCACGATGCCGTCGTGGCCGTCTGAGTTGTAGGGGTCCAGCGCCACGTCGGTGAACACCTCCAGGTTGGGGAACTTGTCCTTGAGCAGGCGGATGCTGCGCTGGACGAGGCCGTCCGGGTTGAAGCTCTCTTCCCCGGTCCGCGTCTTCAGATGGTCGGGGGTCTGCACGGGAGGAAAGGGTGGGGTGGGTGGAAAGCTTGGAGGGGGCAACAACAGGGGTGTCTCTGCCCAAGGAAAGGACCCATGTCACAACCAAAAGTCCATTTCCCCAGCAGGCATAAGGTAGCTGGCCAGCTGCACATCTTCCCTGAATTGCCCCACCATTCGCAACCATGTGATGCGCTGTGGCGCATTCAATACCCACCCGCCCGCTGACCTTGGGAAACAAGACCACGGAGTTGACGCCGTAGGAGCGGGCCCGGGTGACCTCCTCCAGCAGGCCCGACTTCCAGCCCAGGCGGGAGACGCCAGGCATGGAGTCGATGGGGATGTTGGCCTCGCCGTCATGGATGAAGACGGGGAGGATGAGGTTGTCGGGACGCAGGACGGTCTCTGAGAAGGCGCGGCGGATGCTGGGCGAGCGCCGGTTGCGGCGGGGGCGCGAGGGTAGGTCCAGGGTGGGCACGACCGGGGTGCCCTCTGGGACGCTAGCCTGTTAAGGTGGGGGAAGGTGGCTGGGATTCGAGGTTGCATTTGAGGGAATCGCGCAGCACAAGCAGGCACTCATGTCATACTGACTACAGCTTAATGACACACTCTCCAGCACATCCAGCGCCCATCTGGAAGTTGCTCGTGATTCTATAGGCGAGACCCAAATTTTGAATATTTTTAATGCATCCGCAACAAGGCCACCACCATACAACAGTCCTCTGGCACGTGCCTTTGGCGGGGAAGGGGGGGCCGACCACTCCACCTCTGCGATGGCACGTGTGGGAGCCCTCAAGCTCGTATGCTTTCTTGACTGGACCACTGGCAGCCTACGGCATGTGCCATGCAAGCCTGTGACATTGGGTGCCAGTCCCAGGGACATGTTGTCGAACGATGGCAAGGTTGCTGGAGCAAGTGTCGGGTTATGCAAGTACGCTAAGCAGGTCCCAGGCGCGTGCGAGCTCGAAATACAGCAAACCAATGTATATTTTCCTGATATTGGTTGGATGCCAGACGACTACCCCTTCAATCTCCTGATAGCGCCCGCGACTCCTGCAACATGCCCCGCCTGGATCCGATCTGGATACGGGTCGCGTACCATGACAAACTCTGGAGAGGTACTACACCGCCCGGGGTGGGAATGACCTCCGAGAATCGCGCCTGGGCAAGTACTGCAAGTGATTGAAGCTGTTTTCTCAAGTTGCTCAGCTCCGTCTAATCATTCAAGGTGGTCTTTCTGCGCACTGCAAAGGATCACTTTCTGTCGGACACCTTTGTCAGCCCATCACCTGCAGGTCTTCCCATTGGGACTGAGCCCGATATGATGCTGGCGCGCTGTCTGCGCGCCCTTCAGGCATCAGGCACGGCATTCGTTCCCTCGTTGGCGAGGGCTTTGGCATCACAGGTCAACACCTGCGCTGTGGCCTCGTCTGCGGTCCCCCAGTGGACGCCCCTGGGCCCCGGCTTTGCAGCGGGGCTTGCGCCACGGGAGGCCGTTCCCCACCCTAGACCACAGCAGTGTCAACCAACGCATCTGCTGGACTTCAGACATGTCATCCTGATGCAGCCCGTGCCTGTATTGGACCTGTGGCCTGACGAAGTAGTAGCAGGTGGGTTGGAGTCTGCTGTCGTGATGGACTCGAGGCTATCACCTGGGAGTCAATGCATAGACACACGCCGGGGGGTCCTGTGCTGGTGCATGTCCTTAAAAATGACAAACGAGGCACTGCACTGCCTGGGCTTCTGTTGCCGTCCCAAACTCAGCCCCGCTCACCTTTCCCTTCCTCCACTTGCCATGTTTGCACAGAGCCCAGCACCGCCCCAACACCCCTGTCCTGCATCAAGCGAACGTACCAGCCCAGCGTCATCATCAGGAAGCGGCGGCATGGCTGGAGGGCGCGTCACGCCACCCGCTCCGGCCAGAACGTCGTCGCCCGCCGGCGGCTGAAGGGCCGCTGGAGGCTCACGGCCTGAAGGGGCGCATTGCTCCCACACAAGCGTGGACTTGGGATTGAGTGGCGACGTGGTGATGCCGACGCGTGGATGTACCACCTCGCCAGAGCCCCACGGCGGTCTACACCCTGGCTGCGCCGTGCATATCCCTCGCAGCGTGTGGGCTGTCATCCTACGGCTAAGCGCCCTGATGGGTGCACCCTGTCTCCCACCCTCCCTCGTGTGTAACGCAGCTCAGGAGATGATTCCAGTCCTCCCACCAGTCGTCTTCCTGGCGCATACCTCCACATCAGTGCGTCCGCTACAGCCAGTGCGGTGCCCATCGTTGCCCCCCTCCCTGCTACAAACGGCACGGCTCCCAGTACAACAGCCCAGGCAAAGTCGACGCTCATCGCCGGCCGCGGCCGCGACCCCGACCCCGCATGCCGCCGCCGCCGCGGCCGCCGCCGCCCGCTGCGGCCGCCGCGTCGGGGGCCTCGGACCTTGGGTTCCGGATGGTCTCGTCCACCGACAGCACGAGGCAGGCGGCCTCTGCCGCCGACGCGATGGCGTTGATCTTGACCAGCGCTGGCTCCCAGACAAAGGCGGCGTGCGTGTCGGTCACGCCCCCCGTGTTCACGTCCAGCCCGATGCGCGCGCCGGCGCCGTCCTTGGCCGCGTGCTTCTGGCGCAGTTTGTTCAGCACGTCGGTGGCGTCGAAGCCGGAATTGTCCGCCAGCTGGCGCGGGATGACCTCCAGTGCGCGCGCAAAGGCGTTGATGAACAGCTGCGCCTTGCCGGGGATGGCGCGGGCGTGGTCCCTGCAGAGGGTGTGGGTAGATTGAGACCCAGAAGGGTGGGGCACACAGGGGCACGCTGGCTGCTCGGGATTGAGAAGCACACTGTGTGGCAGGAGCACAGCGAATCACAGGCGGTTGAGCGGGGCGAGTTGAGGTCAGGCGCTCCTCACCCGCCACCCTTGTCAGACCCAGTGATCCCCGCCCTCTGGAGACTCGGGTCCTGGCACCGGTGCACCCGCGACCCCGCCAGCAGATGCCGCATCACACGGTGTCGAGGCAATTCCACGAAGTGCCTGCGCCTCCTCCCCAACCCCCACACCCTTACCTGAGGTGCTTGGAGACCTCCATGTCGATGGCGCCCCCGCCGGGGACAATGAGGGGGCTCTTCAGCGTCCGCCGCACGATCATGATGGCGTCGTGCAGGGAGCGATCCGCCTCGTCCAGGAACTGGTCCGACCCGCCACGCAGCATGATGGTGGCAGTCTGGGCGCGGGGGCAGCCTGCGGCAGCGAGGGTGGGCAGGGAGGGTGGCATGGTGCCCCGTGAAGCTGCACGTCGCGGGGCTGTCAAGAGCAAGGGTTTGGTGCATGATGCGCATGCAGCAAGCCTGCCCTCCAGAGCCCCATCCGCCCGCCTGACCCTCGCTCAGGGCCGCACCACCCACTCTTGCACACCCTTGAAGATGTTGTATCGCTCGGCGCCGATCTGGCGCTCCTCGAAACGGGCGCAGGTGCCCAGCGCGCGCTCGGCATCCAGCGAGTTCACCGTGGTCTGCACGGCAGCGCCCGTCGCTTCAGCCACCCGCTGCAGGTCCTCCTCGGGCACCTGCGAGGGGGAGGGTGTGAAGGGGAGGTAAGCAGCCGGAGTTAGCGACGGGGGGTGGGGGGGGTGGGGGAGTTGGTCCAGACATGCTGAGGCATGGGTCCGACGGCAACGCATGGGCATGCCAGGATGGCCAGACAAAGAGGCATCTGTCCCTGAGAGATCAAGATCCATTCTACTTGGGGGGAGATGGGTTGTATGAGACCCGCGGGCCCTCCTCAAATCACAGGGAAACCTCCCGTTGGACCTCCATGTCAAAAGGATAGCCCTGCACCCCTTCCCATAAGTTCAAACACACCAATCCCCTCTCGCCATCCCCAAGCCAGCCACAGTCGTTGAGGGTATGTGAAACCGCTCACCCGCCCGGCGCAGAAGATGTCGCGGTCCGCAAAGTACTGTGTGGCCAGGTCGCCCACGGCAAGGCGGGACAGCACGATCTTGGCCCCGCTTTGTGCGCACTTGTCCAGCTTGTCGTAGATGATGTTCCACTCCGCGTCCACAATGGACTGGTACTGGGTGGGGTCGTCCAGCCGCACCTCAGCATTCTCCTTCTCCGACTTCAGCTCCAGCTCGATGTTAAGCAGCAGGATTTTGGGGTCCTGGGTGATTGAAAGGGAGGGAGGGTGGGAGGGAGCAAAGGGGGATGGTCAGCATGGAGGGCATGCCTCAGGATGCGAGAGTCCAGGAGGACACGTGACCAGACACATACTTCAAAAGGTATCGAGGCATCCACGACTGTATGGAATCAGCCCCCACCTCGTCAGGCATCTGCTGTCCCGCCCCCCCCCCCCCTCTTCGAGATCCGCTTCTTCTGGCTCACATGGTAGCTCTTAGGCTGCATCTCAAACCCGGCGTAGGAAAAGGTCTTCTTGAAGGCCACCCCATCCACCAAGAAGGAGTCCTTCAGCGCACCACCCTGTATGTGTGGGTGGGGGTGGGTGGTGGGGAAGGGGGTTGGATGAGGGAGGAAGGGGCGGACTAAGCTATTGGATGACTATGGCCAGGCCTCGTGGTGATCTGGCTTCTCGCCGGCTCCTGAGTTCCTTGCCCTCCTCCTCCCATTGCAACGTAAGTCTGGCCCATCAAGGAGGACCATGCCCATGCCTCTTTCCTGCTGCAACAAACCTGCCACACACACCCTAACCCTCCCCTGCCCCCCCAAACCATGTGCATGCATCGAAACCCACCTGCACTTTCTTGATGCCCAGCATGCGCAGGTCCAGGAGGGCGGGGTCCAGGCTGCCCACCGCGTCGACCACCATGCGCGCGAAGAAGTCGCGCTCGCCGCTGACCAGCTTGCTGTTCAGGCTCGTCTGCGCGCACTTCTCCAGCAGCTCGTTCCGCTCCTGCTCCCCCCGCCCCGCCGCGATGTCGGTGGCCAGCTCCCGCACGCGCGCCACCGCCAGCTCAGCGGCCTGTCGGTAGGCGCGCATGATGAGGCGCGGGTGCACGCCCTCCTCCACGAAGGAGCGCGCCTCGCGCAGGAACTCGGCGGCCAGGAGCACCACGGTGGTGGTGCCGTCGCCCACCTCCGCGTCCTGGGACAGCGAGATGTCCACCAGGGTCTTTGCAGCCGGGTGCACTATGTCCAGGGTCTTCATGATGGTGGCGCCGTCGTTGGCGATGGTCACTCCGCCCTGTTTGGGGGGGGGGGGAGGGGGTAGAGGTGGGGGGAGGGCAATGCTCACCAACACATCCACAGAGGCACCCACCCACTCCACAAATGATCCATCCACTCACCCGCTCGGTGTGCATGAGCTTGTCCATGCCCCGGGGACCCAAGGTGGTGCGCACCACGTCCGCCACCGCTACGCACGCCCCGATATTGCTGATCAGCTGCGCCTTGCCCTGACTCGTGTCCGTGCCCTCCTTGAGCAGGATGATTTGCGGTTGCTGTGGAGTAGGGGAGGGGGTGGGTGTCATGGGCAGGCTGCGGCGGGTCCTGATCGCCGGGTGGTGCGGGCCAGGGATCGCGGGCCGGCACGCATGGCGCCGATGTGGGTATGATGTAGTCTGCACAGACAATGCCGTGTGCAAGGGGTACCAATGTCCACCCCTGTGTACGCCACCCTCACCATCCCGAAGGGGAGCGCCATCGCGGTGGTAGTGCTGGTCCACGCAGCGCCCGCCCTGATTGGAGATCACGAAGGGTAGACAAGGAGGGTGTTGAGTGCAGCTCCTGGTTGCATCTGTGCTGGCCTGCCTGCGCGCTGCGCGTCTTGATCGGGACCCCTCCTTACGGCGAGATTGAAACGTCGCTCTCCCCGCGGGAACGGGGGCCTCCACATGGCTCCACACACGCATCACCCCTGGGGCTGGCAGGCCCCTCCCCTTCTCTCTACCCCATTCACTACCGATCGCTTCACGACTTTGTAACAGGCATGAAGAGAAGAAACGCTGGGCCGGGCCGCTCGGCGCCCCGGCCGGGGGTGGGGCTGGTGCCTGGGTGGCTTGTGGAGGGGTGGGGGGGGGGAGGGGGTCCCCGATGTGGGCCCCGGCCCCACTCCCCGCCTCCACACACACACACCGCCGCACACGCGCTCACTTGCCCGCGATCTCGGCGGCCATGCGGTCCGCCTTGTCCCGCACCTCGCTGATGTCGCCCACCATGTAGAAGGCCATCTCCGGCAGGTCGTCGTGCTTGCCGTCCAGCACGCCCTGGAAGCCGGAGATGGTGTCCTTCAGGTCCACGTACTTGCCCGGCGTCCCCGTGAACACCTCGGCCACGGCAAAGGGCTGGGACAGGAAGCGCTGGATCTTGCGCGCGCGGGCCACCACCATCTTGTCCTCCTCCGACAGCTCGTCCATGCCCAGGATGGCGATGATGTCCTGCAGGTTCTTGTAGTCCTGCAGCACCTTCTGCACGCCGCGCGCCACGGCGTAGTGCTCGTCGCCCAGCACGCGCGGGTTGAGCATGCGCGAGGTCGAGTCCAGCGGGTCCACCGCGGGGTAGATGCCCAGCTCCGCGATGGAGCGCGACAGCACTGTGGTCGCGTCCAGGTGTGCAAAGGTGGTGGCCGGGGCGGGGTCGGTCAGGTCGTCGGCGGGCACATAGATCGCCTGGACGGAGGTGATGGAGCCCTTGGTGGTGGTGGTGATGCGCTCCTGCAGCTGGCCCAGGTCGGTGGCCAGCGTGGGCTGGTACCCCACGGCGGAGGGGATGCGGCCCAGCAGGGCAGACACCTCCGAGTTGGCCTGCGAGGGGGGGGAAAGCGCGATGGGTTTGGGAGGTTCTGTTGATGGCGGACTTGAAACTTACAGGGAGACAATGAGCACCACGGTGCAATGAACACACACCGGCGCCACCGGATCGGGAGTGCCCCCCCCCCCCAACCACCGCCCAGGTATGCACCCACTGCCATTTCTCGTGCACCTGAGTGAAGCGGAAGATGTTGTCCACGAACAGCAGCACGTCCTGGCCCTCCTCATCGCGGAAGTACTCGGCCACGGTCAAGCCGGTCAGCGCCACGCGCGCGCGCGCGCCCGGGGGCTCGTTCATCTGCCCGTACACCAGGGTCACCTTGGACTCGGCCTGGGCGGCGCCGGTCTTGATGACGCCGGACTGGATCATCTCGTGGTACAGGTCGTTGCCCTCGCGGGTGCGCTCGCCCACGCCCGCAAACACGGAGAAACCACCTGTCGGGTGTTGAGAGGGGGAAGGGGGGGTGAGTGATGCACCCAGCCCCACTCTCCAGGCCCCGCCCATCCAAAAGGGCGACCCCAGTTCGGTCGTTACACCCCAGCCACGGCATCAGAACCGTGGTGACGACGACCTCCACCCTGCCTCGCCCTGGCATCGCACGGACCGACGACATCAGAGCCCCAGGAGAACAGCGGAATCCCACGCCCCCCTCCCCCTTGACAAGCCCACCGTGGGCCTTGGCGACGTTGTTGATCAGCTCCATGATGAGCACGGTCTTGCCCACGCCGGCACCGCCGAAAAGGCCGATCTTGCCTCCCTTCTGGTAGGGGGCCAGCAGGTCCACCACCTTGATGCCGGTGGTGAGCATCTGCTGCTCCGTGGCCTGCTCCACGAACTCAGGGGCCTCGCGGTGGATGGGCCAGAGGACGTTGGAGTCGATGGGCCCCTGCTCGTCCACGGGCTCGCCGATGACGTTCAGGATGCGGCCCAGCGTGCCACGGCCCACGGGCACGCTGATGGGCTGGCCCGTGGCCACCACGCGCTGCCCACGCACCAGCCCGTCGGTGGTCTCCATTGCGATGGTGCGCACGGTGTGGTCGCCCACGTGCTGCGCGACCTCCAGCACCAGCCTGACGTCGTGGTCCTGGACCTCCAGGGAGGACAGGATGGGGGGCAGCTTGCCCTCGAAGTGGACGTCCACCACGGCGCCGATCACCTGGGAGGTTGGGGAAAGGGGGATCGGGGGTGGGGGGCTGGAGACAGCGCCACATGCCCGGGCGGGGCCGAGGGTGGGTCCAGGCAGGACGGGATGGCCCGTTGGAAACGGCTGGGTGTCCGGGACCCGGGGCCTGCGGGGGCCCAAACCCGGCCGGACCCCGCGTGCACCGGGTCCCAGGGGTCATGCTGGATCGGATGGGACCTGCCAGAGGCCCGGCCGAGGCGAAAAAGGGAGCGAACCCAAGCGGTCGGGAGACCTGCGCACCTGGGTGACGGAGCCATCGGTCTCGGGGGCGGCCTCGGGGGCGGCCTCGGCGGCATACAGAGCACGCTGCGCCACCACACGGCTGCAGGCGAGGGCGGGGGAGGTGCCCTGTGCGGAGCGTGCGAGCCCAGAGAGGGAACCCGCGGCCCTCAGGAGTGCCATCGCGCGGCTGCGCTCTATCACGGCCTTGAGGGAAGAAATCTGGAGGGATAGAGGGGTGGTAGAGGGGACGCAGGGAAGCAGGGGTTGGCACTCAAATGGAGCCCCCAGGCGTGGGGGCACCAGGGCGTTTGTGCAAAAAGAAAGTGGGGAAGTGACTAATTTCTCCACATGTCCATGGCCAACTCCCCTCAAACAGCGAGATCGACTCAGTGCTGCCCTCGCAAGTCATAAGGAAATACATGACATTTCTGCAGCAAGCTGTGAGAGAGATCGCGGAGTCTTACTCGCGGGTCAACCATGGCTGCCCTTGAGGCGAAAGCAACGCTTACGCTCTGATGCCCCATCCGCAACGCCGCTGTGCACGCTTGCATCTATCGCGTCTGTAAGGGATGCATGTGTTGTTTTCTTCTTGTTAAATTGGACCCCACCCTGATCAGCAAGCTGCTGAAACTGAGCACTGACAGACGGCGCAGGTGGGACGCCACTGACTTCCCAGATCTCGGTTGCTAAGGACCATGCAGACCCACCAAAGCAATGCATGGAACGTGGTATACAGATAGAACACCAATGTGATGGTCAAGAGTTCTTCTTTCCCATGCTGTCTGGCAGATACATGGTTGGGAGTGCAACAAGGTGATTGTGCCTCCCAGGGGATGATAAGATGCTGATCAGGATCCTGAATGCATTGAATTGCTGAGAGAAGATAATCTCGAGTGTGATGCTACCCTGTGCAGCTTCATCATGGTCTCTCGCCTCTTGCGCACATAAAATTGTACTCCCAGAGAGACAGGCCAAACGCACCAAGGGGGTGACCCCGACGCGCGCGAACGAGACGAGTCACCGGTGTCGAACCAGTTGAGGTCCGTAAGGACAGACTTTCAACCTCCCATAACTTTCACTTCGCCATATCGTCCCCGAAGCATTCTTCCGATTCTTTAGGGGAAAGCAGCGTCCCGACGAGGGGTGACGGACCCTCGCCAACTCCTCGAACGCGCCTTTGACGTTACGGCGCCATGCCACTCATTTACAGCTTTGTGGCTCGGCAAACAACGGTGTTGGCTGACTACACTTCGTTCACTGGAAATTTCAGCGTTGTTGCCATCCAGGTATGCCTCAGGGCGTGGGAAGACTGCCGGCCTCGCCAACTGGATCACGTTGGCGTTGTGTGATCAACTTCGCATGTGCGCTTTTTGCAGGCACTCGAGAAGGGAGCACAAGGGAACAACAGCAAGTTCACATACTCCTGCGACGGACACAGTAAGCCACAGGGGCGGGCCTGCATGAGCTAGCTGTTCTTCTCCAGCACAGTTAGAAACCCTCCATACTCCCTCCCTTCATCGTGCAGCCTTCAACTACCTCTCCGCCAATGGCTATAGTGAGTGATACTCCGGTTCCTTGGTATGCAGCTTTGATACAATGGGCTTGTGCTGACAAAAGGGCACACTCCTTGAGTGTTAACACTGTGCTGACGTCACCACTGCCTCCACTTGCAGCGTTCCTGGTGGTAGCTGACGATGCCTTTGGGCGCCAGATCCCGTTTGCCTTCCTAGAGAAGGTGAAAGAGGAATGGTTCCAGAAGTGGGCCGACAAGGGAGCAGCCGCATTCGCCCACTCCCTGGACAAGAGCTTCGGGTGAGGGGGAGAGCAGGATGGGACGGGGGCCGGTGCACCAATGTGCGCGGGGGCGCTCTGCAACGAATCAGTATGAATGATGGAGTGCAGGGTTTATGCCTGCAGAAGGACGGTTGACGCCCTCATCCGCCACGCTCTTGCTGTGTCTATTCCCAAGGACCTACCCAAACGTCGTCGCCTTCACGCCGGCCCACTCTGCCTTGCAGCCCCCGCTTGAAGTACTGGATGGATTACTGTGAGCAACACCCAGAGGAGCTGTCAAAGGTGGCCTCCGTCCAGAAAAAGGTGAGTTGCGGTGAGGAGTCTTGCATGAAGCTCGATGGCCCCTGAGCGCCAGCTCTCGCGGTGCCAGGCAGGCGTCGATGCATCGGCCCCGCCCAATCCCCTCAGGTGGACGAGGTGAAGAACATCATGGTGGAGAACATCGAGCGCGTCCTGGAGCGCGGCGAGAAGATCGAGCTGCTGGTGGACAAGACAGACAACCTGCGATTCCAGGCGCGCGGGTGGCAGGAGGAGTGAAATCTGTGCATCGTGTTGTGGGGATCTGCTCGTCAACGACCTGCGGCAGGGTCACCAGATGTACATGATGCAAGGGACCTGCCGGCCGCGGATGAGGCATGTGGGCTTGGGGTGAATTTTGAGCGCACCGCTGGCACTCTGTGGGTGTGTGCCTGATCCAGGGGTTATCGCGCCCCCATCACCTCAGAATCACCCCCCCCACAAACCTGCAGGCCGACAAGTTTCACAAGACGGGGCGGCAGCTGCGCAGCCGCATGTGGTGGCAGTCCTTCCGCATGAAGATGATCATCATCGTCATCATCATCCTCGTCGCTGTCATCATCTTCTGCGCGGTCTGCTTCTCAGGGGGCAACTGCCTGAAGAAGGGCTGATGGATGGCGGGGGGCTCGGCCATGCACCTTGGTGCCCCCCCTTCCACCAGGCACCCCCCTCCCCTCCCCTCCCCTCCCCTCCCCTGACCCCTCTCATCACACCGCCCTCGGCCCTGCCCGCTGATCCTCTGTGACCCTGCCTGATACACCTTGTGCCCTTGGTCCTTGAAAATGCCCTATGACACCCCCTGGACCCCTTCCTTTTTATTCAAGGGTTGCGATGCGGAGTTCTTGGGCACGTACAGATGTGATGGCAGAGAGGATGCCCTCCTCTGCAAAGGAAGAGTGTGGTGGCAGAGCAGTGTGTGCGCGGATTTCAAGGAGCCCCTGTGCCTGACACTGAGACAGGGTGTGGGCCCTCACTCATGACTGGTCCAGCTCCCTGAGCAGCGGTCCAGCCTGCCCAGCGCCATCATGTGGGCTCGGCCGCCTTGCCCAGCTGCTTGGGCAGCTTCTTCGCGGCCTGGTCCATGATCTCCTTGCGGCTGTAGTAGTGCGGCGCGATCTCCACCTGTCGATGTCGAGATTGTGTGGGGGGTGACTTTTCTCGACGAGTGGAGCCCCAGCATAGGCCGTACGCATCTCCACCCATGCCCGAGGCCACCGGGACTTCAGAGCGCATGCCAGACGCCCGCACACGCCCCCACCAGCCCCACCCACCAGCCATTCGGGCTTGATCTCCGACACAACGCGCATGTACTCCTTGGTCGTCAGCACGAGCTCGTGGTAGACCAGCCAGCGCGGCAGGGCCTCCGCCAGGCCGCTGGAGGGGTGGATGGCCACGGTCTGTGTGCAGGGGGCCGGGCGGAGGAGGCATGGTTGCAGGGGTGGAGGAACAGCTGAACGCCGGAACCTACTGATCAGCTGCCATGCTCCGCGGCGGGTTCCCACCATACGCACAGCACTCCCGAGTACCTGAGGGTTCTTGACGGTGCGGTAGCTGCCGTTGCGCTGCAGGGAGGCGGTGTGGTAGAAGAAGCCGGCGGTGATGGCCTTGCGCATGCCCTCCAGGTCCCCCACGTTGCTCACCAGCTCCACCTCGCAGCGCTCCATGAGGCCCAGGATTTGATCCCGGATGTCCCTCGCCC